TTTTGTCCTACAATCCTTCCCTCAATCCCAGTTTGTCAGAACTGACTCCCGTCCATGAGCCTGGTGGTGCTGAGGTTTCTCCCTGTTAAAAGGGAGTTTTTTTCTTTCCATTTTTTTTCTCTGTATTATTGTAGGTTCGGTTCATCACCTTACATCTAAGGTCCCTTGTTGACAGTTGTTGTCATTTGGCAGTAATCAACTTAGGACTTAGCAGCTCACTGTGCACCTGGATATTGGACTTCCCGAGCAACAGACCCAGAACGTCAGGATGGGAGAGCACACTTCTTCCACCTTCTTTCTGAACATCCCACAGGGGTGTGTCCTCAGCCCTTTTTTATGCTCACTTTTCACCCATGACTGTTGTGTAATCCGCACTAGTAACACTATTATAATGTGTGCTGACAACACCACCATCATAGGGCTGATCGACAACATGAATGATTCAGCCTACAGAGAGGAGATTCAGCATCTGAAGCAATGGTGTGAAGACAACAACCTGCAACTGAACACAGCCAAGACCAAGGAGATGGTAAATGACATCAGGAGAACAAAGCAATGGGAGCACTCCACTCACTACATCGATGGAGAGGAAGTAGAAAGCGTAGAAAGCTTTAGTTCCTTGGCCTTCACATCTCGACCAGCCTTACCTGGTCCACAAACATTTCTCACAAGGTAGGAAAAGCACAATAAAGGATGTACTCCCTCAGGAAGCTGCATCAAGCCCAATTACCCCAGAAACTGCTAATTAACTTCTACGGCTCCATCATTGAGAGCCTTCTAGTCTACTGGTGCAATTGGCATTTCACCAACACCCCTCAGAGACATCTTTACTGGCAGACTTCAGCAGAAAGCCAGTATTATCATCAAAGACCCCTCAATTAGCTTTTTTACAACTATTTTTTCAAGAATTCTTTTAGATAAAAGGAAGGTTGGAGATTGGTTTATAAAGACAGATGGGCCAACTAATGGCTTTTTACATATCGCTTTAATTACTGATACATTGAATGCCTTTGGTGCATAGCTCATTAATAGAGATAGATTTCTCATATCTATGATCAAAACATTAATGGTAGGACTTTCTTGAACAGTCTTTTAGAAATGGGGTCTTATAGACACATTGATGGCTTGGAGGAAATAAATATTGAACTTAACTAAACTCTGATTTTTCAGAGTGAGCATGTAAATAGTATTGAAAATAGCTGTACAAAATGATATGTCTGTGAGATGGTTAAACTATATATAATTTTTTCTCCAGTGAGTGTTTTGTGATGGGAATCATGAAGTTATTAATAGTTACAGTTGAGCTCTGATGGCTCAGCAGAGCTCTGACTCTGTGTCAGCCTCGCTAGAGTGTTGAAAAGAAACCTAAGGTTGTTCTTATTTCCTTTAATTGATGATGAGTAATATATCCTGTTAGAGAGGGCTTTTTTAATAGTCTTTTTCCAGGTTAAATTACATTCTTCTAAATTAGTGACATATCATTTCCTTTCCAGCTTATCTGTTTATCTGAGACTGTCCTTTTTTAGAGGAGACACACTATCCAGGATAGTGATGACACGAGTCAACATTATTAATAAGATAATAGACCTTTGTGGGTAAGCTTAGGTACCTGTGCTATATTATAGGGGAATATGTCATTGAAGAGTTTTTATTTTATTGTTAAATGTTCAGTTTCTATGCCATACATTAGAACAAGATCCCAAGTGTGATTATAGGGGTGCGGACTTATTTATATTTACATATTTATTTTCTTGTCTGGAAATGTCAAACAAATCATATAAATATGCACTTATATGCTAATAACCCATTGCATTTGCTCATTATCAATGTGGGTGTAAGTTCTTTCAAAGAAGGCTCGCTGAAATTCTCCCTTCTTTCCTTCTAGCACAGAAAGCTACAACTAAGAAATCCCTTCTAATAATCTTTTAGAAGCTGACTTCTCTCTGCACCAGTGCAGTGTGGATTCAAATGACTACGCTGCTAAGCATTAGTGGTGTGCAGACTGATAGTAAAATATCGACTTCTCCAATGCCAGATGTTTTATGAATCAATTCTCATATCTAAAATATCTATATTTTAGTAATTTGGGTCCAAAAAGGTTGATTCTGTTCATCTGGACGCAGAGTTTTCAGTGGGAGAAACGTTTCGTCACTCATCGAAGTGACTTCTTCAGTCTCAGATGACTGCAGGTTTCCTCAACCTTATAAACAGTACATTTGCACAATAACTGAAACCAGCCCACTATATGAACAATGGGTTGTGAGATCAGTTCCTTGATCATTAATCCTTGGGGTGGACCAATTTTTGGCAGAGCGTGTTTTGGGGTTTAAAAGCCACACAGACACAGTTTTTGGAAAAAATTGGTCCACCCCACAAATCGGGTCCCCCGACACAAACAGAATCATATAGTGTACGCTGTTAAGTGCCCGGAGGATGGCCATGGTTTATATATCGACAAAACCAAACAACCTGTGGCAAAGCGTATGGCACAACACAGAAGAGCTAATTCATCAGGCCAGGACTCTGCAGTCTACTTACACCTACTACACCTTGTTATGTTATAGTTTTAACAAGTGCACGAGAATTTGAGCAAACAGTTTTTACTTAGTCATTAGATGGTATTGTGTGTAAAATTTTGAGGTGCATTTTTTTTTTTAAAATTCAATCTATTTTGGAATAAGGCTGAAAAATGACAAAATGTGGAACAAATGAAGTGCCATCAATACTTCCCGGATGCATGCTACTAGTCTACATTTCTACAGAGTAATCAAATTGCTGCTATGCAGATGATATTCATTATACATGTCTAACACTTGAAAAGTGATAATAATGTCAAGCTGTTGACCAGAAATGTTATAGCTCTGATCCTAATCCATTTGTTCCTGTTGATGTAGAAATCAATTCAGGATTATTTTTCAAACACTTACTTACATAAAAATGTAATTAACCATTCATGGCGAGGTATTGAGATTAGTTTTTTGGTTTTATTACTATTATTAATTTTAAGATGTACACACCTTGTCTCAATATGAAAATGATAACATTCTTCGTGTTACTCCCCATATAATATAACATATAACATGATATGATTTTAAGCACCACACGCACATACTTGGAAGTGATTTCGAGATAAAAAAGCTCTGGCTGTGATATTTTAAAGGAGTAAATAGTTGTTTAACCATTTTTTTGCTAATTATGAAAAAAGACACTATAATGAAAATTAAAAGATCATTACTTCATGATCACATCAAAATGAACTGTGGTGGTAGAAACCTTCACAAAGCTAAAGAAGTTAGAAGTTAGTTAGTGTTCAGGGCGGTGTTATGTCATAAATTGAAAACTGAAGTCTTACCAGTAGAAAGAAATACAGTAGCACTTCAAAAGAAAAGATCCCCAATGACTGAGAAAAAAGGTTTTTTCTGCTGTTGAGAGACGTAAGGCTACTGGAGTCAAATTGCAAATAAACGTGGGAGTGCAGGGACGGTACAGTTTCTTTAGCCACACACAGTAAAAAGAAGAAAACCCCACCACCTTGTGGTTGCATGTCCAACCACTCAAAATAAAGTTTACATCTATGTCCATACAGACATCACTAATATAGATTTAAATATTTACTTTGAAGGAAAAAGGCCCCAAAAAAAGTCTTCCTCTCCGAAGCTGTTAATACAGTTTCTTCCTCCATCTCCATCACCGTGTGACTCATGGATGCATGTTTGTCAGAGATATCTGAGGAAATGGCAAACAACATTAAATTTGTAACCTCCATCCAATGGTGAGCATGTATGAAATGTCCCGAGTGCCAAAATGAGTTAATTAAATAATTAATTAAATGTGTCGTTAATTAAATAAAATTGTAATTAATTAATAATCAAATATATCTATCATTATTTAAATGTCAATTCATTTCATGTAAAACATTTTAGAAGTTATTTCTATTTCCAGTTTTAATTAGTTGACACATTTAACTAATTACTTAATTAAATCTGTGTTTTGTTTTTATTTTAAAATTTACTGCTACTGTCACAAACACACACTCACACACACAGGCATACAAACTACCATTTAGGGTTTTTTTTTTACTAGTCAGTGTGTCTGATGATTTTTGGACTAGATATGACAGATCAAAGCTCAAGTATGTTTGGTAAGCATAGATATGGTAGTGATGGCCTTGAAGCTTTCCATCCAACTGGTTAAAAACAGGTTCATTTCCAAAAGCTTCATGTGTACACAGACCCCCCCTGCTGGTCAAAACCTTTCAACTACTTCTTACAGCTTCTTGGTTTTCTTACAACAGTGTCATCATGGGAATAATCATGACGATGTTTGTGTTTGTGGGAGTACTGCAATTTCAATTTCCTGTGTATGACTAGTCTTTGACAACAAAGCTGGTGTTGACTTTGACCAAAACTACAGTAACATGTTTCATTATTTACAGGAATATTACGTGTAATAGCTCAAAGTGTTGCCGCACAGGAGGAAATGCTTCTCCTTTCAGCAGGCTCCATGAAAACAACCTCCTCATGTCACTGGGAAAACTCCAACATGAACACTAACATGCAGTTTTGGGGGGTAATCCATGGTGCTTATGAATATTCGTGAATCACATCAACACTCAAACCACATTCTGAAACAGCGAGGCTTCACACATCACGACCGATGTCACTCATCCTTAAAGAACCTAGCTATGATATGTACTTGATAAAGGATTTCCTGGATTAAATCCTGGCACAGTGCATCACATCACTAGTGAATAGTCTTTTTCCTTAGAATTTACTATTGTTCTTTTTGCAACAATTTTAGAATGTTCTCATGTCTGATTTGAAAGTTTGCATTTACATTGGCTGTTCTTGTTTGTCCTCCTTCACCCCGTACAAAGTATAAATGGTTCATTTTCCTTCTACCAACTTTTTCCTTGTTACTGGCTATTTTATAAAAATCAATCAATCAATCAATCAATCAATCAATCATTCAAAGACAATACCAAAGTGCTGTACATAGTACTTTCGAAAATACTTTGTCTTGTCTCCTGAAATGTTGGGTCCTGATCTTCAGTGTTCCAAGAATCGGCCTGTCTGTGTAACGTTTTACACATTTGAATACTACTTATGTACTCTTTAAAATAAATAGATAAATAAATAGACCAATCAGGTTTAACATTATGTATGATACTGCATGATGCTGTGTTGGTGCCAGTTCTGATGTTCATTCCCATTGTTGGTGCTTTCAGTTGCATGGGTCACCATGGGCATCTTGACAGGTCTGTGGCTATGCACTGCCCCATTCACAACAAACTGCGGAGTCTTTGC